GCCTTCAGAAGAGCCATTGTTTTTATGCAAGATAATGCTCCCTCACATGCTGCTCACAAGACTACTGAATATTTGAAACAGACTTCGATGGACCTCGAAAAATGAAATGGCCAGCAAATTCTCCAGATTTGAACCCAATCGAAAACCTTTGGAGCATCATGAAGTGAAGACTGTACGCCAACGGACAACAATTCAGGAGCAATGCTGAGTTGTGGAAAGCAATTCTTGACATATCTTACGGCATTACAGTAGATAACATCCTACAATTAACAAATTCTATGGATCGTCGACTTCTTCAATTAATTTCAAAACAGGGAAAGCATCTTCGCTATTAATTTGTTTAAAACTGTGCCTTTGTTTGTATCTGTTATTATTTGTTTGATTATCTTATTTATTAGCTTCTTTTGACCATAAAAATTCATGTGCAACATTAATAAATGTTTTGTTTGCTCAATTCTGGGAATTTTAGTAAACCTTTCTAATAATTTGGCACACTCAAATCACCATGCTGATAACAAATATGGCGCCAGTTTGTAACATTGCGCAGATCAACACGAAAATTTCAGTGATTGTTCAAGTCAGTGTTGCCAACATTGTGTGAAAAGTTATCTCAATAATAATTTGGTACGCAGTATATATATATATATATATATATATATATATATATATATATATATATATATATATACTGTTGAAATGCATCTGCAGTAAGTATTCTTTTCAGTGGACGATGACCCAGAGATCAGGCTGCAACATCATTATCACTCAGCCAGTGTGACAATAGACCTCAATAAACTTTACTAGATTAAAAGCTTTCCCAGTTCAGAAAAAAAAGGATATATTGTTTTTTGGGAACATTTTGTTTAAGTCTGGAGAGTTTACTCTTAACAATATATCAATTCAATATATGTAAATAATCTAGCATTTCCTTACTGTTAGCTGATTTTATTTAGTGGAATATCAACCTCTATTGGTTACTTAATGCTGAAATTTAAATATTTTGTATGCATTTGCATACCTTCAACTACAGATAAAATGTATTTTTGTTAATTCTACCATAAAATATATTACTGGTAATTTTTTTTTTATATAAATATGTATTGTTGGTAATTTTACTGTAATAATGTTACTGTTATACTTTCATAGTGTTTTGATTTTAGTTTGGCATTTCACTATCTGCCCATAGTAGAGACCCTAACAGGTGCTACCACCCGGGTCAGTGTGCACCTGAGAGCAACAACAATTAAGAGGTGGTTCCACACTCCTTAAAACCTCCAATCTCCCAATCAGGGGGCTTTGCTTGCCCTGCCAATTGAAGTTAATTTAATCATTTACATACAAGATCATTTCATGAGGCTTCAGGACTGGTATAAAAAGAGTGGAATCTTCAGGCTTCAGTATATTATTGCCCAGTATCCTAGTTAGGATATATCAAAGGCACAAGCCATCATTCATGCATTGTGGGAAACTGGCAAGACTCAAAACAAGATAGCAGACTGAGAGTATCTCACCTCAATAAATGTATACACTTTTTGAATTTACTGACCAGAGAACTAAAGATGTCCTTTCAAAGAGATTTTAGTTTGAAATGCAAGAACACTTGAAATCAGATAGAACCTGCTAATACGTAAAGGGTGTTCCAATAACTTGGACCAATTTTAAATGTGAATTAAATTTAAGCATCTAATGATTTTTTTCTTTTTCTTTCAGATTTAACAATTTAAGTCTTTGGTAATTTCAACCATGGAAAGATTAACAATTAAACGTGTTAAAGTTTCAAGAGTACAATTGGAAAAATTGTTTGTAAATTCAAACAAACAGCTGAAAATATTGCAGCAGTGCATGAGAATGCGTCTGAAAATCCAGACATCTCTATTCGTCATTGTGCATAGGAATCAAACCGCTTCACAACAATGTTACATCATTTTCAATTGCACTCTTGTTTGGTTGATTATATTGACCAAAAAAAATCATGAAGTGTATGAAATGCATTTGTTTGAACGTCTACTTTTGTAATAGGCTTTGATAACTTTAACACATTTGATTGTTAATCTTTCCATGGTTGAAATTACCAAAGTCTTAAGTTGTTAATTCTGAAAGAAAAGAAAAAAATCATTAGATGCTTAAACTTAATTCATATTTAAAATCAGTCTAAGTTATTGGAACACCCTTTAGTAGTGTCAGACAATGACAGATATCCAGGTTTCAAATCTGAAAGAGGAGTTTTGTCTTCTTTATATACTCATATATAAGCCGATTTTATGTATAGTGCAACCCTAAATTGTTTTGTATGAATTTTAATCCCCCCAGAAAAATATTTACTTGTATAAAGCGCAACCAGTCATAAAAGTGCATGACTTTTATACTCTTCAAAGAAAATGATTACCTGGGTCACCCACTATTTTTGCATAAAAAATTGATCATAAAAACTCACAGTATGCTTGAGTATAATACAGTAATTCTGCTGATTAACAAAGTAAAAAGATTTCTATTGGCCACTTAAGAACACTTTCTGATAGCTTCCATGAACATTTTCAGCACCTGGCTGTGTCACAATGCCTCCTAATGATACTTACAAGGAAAGATCTTAAATTACATACTTTCTTCACACTTACTACATGAATCTAATGGTCAAAATCATCACAGTTTGTGGTATTAAAAAATCAATGTCACTGCTAATACTTAATATCTATCCTAATTAAAATCATACATTTTAAATTTTGCAAATTAAGCAATGAAATTTCAGGAAGCTGATTAAAAAAAAAAAAAAAAAAAAATACACAAAATGTTTCTACAAAGCAATTATTTTTTAATGAATAAATATTCTCTTCTATGTCTAATGTCCCTTTAGGACATTGGCAATCATGGTTCTCCACAACTGCCTGTCTTTTGGCCATCTCTCCCAAACCCTGCTTCATCAGTTATGCATTATATTACATAACAGTTCAATACTCTTTTCTTTGTTTATAACTAAATTTTTGTTTCGGTTTAAAACTTTGCTTAGCTTTTGGAAAGCATCTTTCACTATCTCAATGCACCATCCTATTTCAGTATCACAATTTCTGTCCTCTGTTAAAATACTTCCCAGATATTTAAATTGTTGTACATGTTTGATTTTTGTATTGCCAATTTGTAATTTGCATGCTGGGCTGTTCCTTTTGCTAACAACCATGCATTCTTCTTGCAATTGAGGTTTAGTCCTTTCTTCTTGCTTTCCTTCAATACCTTCTGTCGAAGTTCTTGTACTTTCCTTTTTGTATCTGCTATCAACACTGTCTGCTGCATATCTTATGTCGTTAAGATTGTGGCTGCCAATAATGAATCCTGGTAGGACTTCTATTCTCTCAGAATTGCCTCACCACTGGGCCTAGATTGGGAAACTTTGGAAATAGTTTTATCAAATGCAAACTTTGTATGAGAAACTAAATTTTATTTGGAAAGGTATCTAATGGTTTAATTCTATTTAATATGGTATAGTGAAATGACAGAATGGTCTTTTTTCATGTAAAACACCAAATTTATGGGAATTTCATAAGATCACAATGATGGTACCATATATGAAAAATCATATTTTACATTGCAATCCAACTCTGGTGCACACACCATCTGTTACTAATTCTTTCCAAGACTCATCTATTGTTGGACTATATTATCCATTTATGAGGATATTTTTTAATCAATATATGAATATAATGGTGTTTACAACTTTTGTACACCTTTTTTTTGTAACAATTACTTGAAAAATTGTACTTTACTAACTAGATTCAGTCATTAGCTTTAATCCAAAATGACTTTTCTCGAGACATGATGTAGTCTGATGTCATGAATTTTGGTTTTGTGATTATGAAAAATCAGCTAAGAGTTACTTCATGGGTTTTAAAGATTCGGATAGAGCTCAGCATGAATTTTTCAAAAATGGTATACTTTTGAGATGTGAATCTTAGCCATTCTCAAGATATTCAAGGACTTAGGCCGAAATTTGCCAGTAATTTTAGCATAAATTGGTTATAATTTGGAAAAAGACCCTAAAATTTTGGATGATTCTTTGAAAAATAAGATGTTTATTTGATTACTGTGTGACTTCATGTTAGTCAAAAACAATAATTTTAACTGTTGTTTTCTAATTTGAAACCAACCTTTTACCCTGTTTTTGCATAATCAATAAAACACAGGTACACCTCCTGCATTTGTATTGCGTTCTGATATCATTTTTAGCATAAATGTCACAATCCTTGTTCCAGTGTCTTTAACAAATCTATACCGTTCTTGTCCTATTTTCGATCTAATTCTGTTGAATGTTCTATTCATCAGAATTTGGATGATAAGTTTTGTTATATGGCTCATTAATCCGATTGCCAGATGGAGTTTACATTTGTTTACACCTGGCTTAAGCAGTGTTTTGAAAATTGATCTACTTAGGTCTTCCAGTAGATCACCACTGTTGTAGATTTCAATTATTATGCCTGTAATCTTTTCAATTCCAAAATCATCTAAGGCTGCCAGCACCTCCATTACAATTCAGTCTGGTTCTACTGCATTGTTTCTGTTGAATTTGGTCAGTGCCAATTCCACTTCAGATTTTAATATTTCTGCGTATTGTCACTTGTTCTCTTTCATTGTTGAGGTCTTCGATGTAGTCATCCCATCTCTAAAGTATTTTTCTTTCTCTAATATCAGCCTCCCATCCTTGGATTTTATGTATCCTGTTAATAAGCATCTCTTTAGTCCCGTGAATTCTTATTTTTTTATGCATATTATTTATTCTATTTCTGCGCATTTTTTGTTGAGCCATTTCTTATTACCTATTGAAAGTGATGACCTTTTTAAAACTAGGCCCTAAAAAGCATAGTAAAAGTACAAATTTTAACAGATTTATTCTGATGATAGATGATGAAATCAAAATTAAATAATGTTATAAATAAAGAGTATAACTCTTCGAATTATTACTTACATCTTTTCATAAATATAGTGTTATATAAAGCAAACATAAATATACTTACACGCTCTGCCACTGCTTTCAACATCAAAGAAGCACCTAGAGCGGTGAGTTCCATTAACAGTCATCCTGGAAAAAAAAAAAAAAATTTAAATAAAGTGATCTAAAAACAATTGTCTATATTTTTGTTGCTAAAAATCTAAGTTTCTTTTCTTCATAAACCCGACCTGAACTGTATTGTGGTAGAGCATTAATCATTAAATCTTCAATCAATTCTCATGTTTACTGCTTATTCTCAGGCTCCCAATTAAAGAAAAAAAAGTTTCTTCTAATTACTGGCAGAACTTCATGAAGGTTATATTGAGATCTTCTAGAAACAACTATTTTGCTAAATTTAAGCTTAGCAATAGTAAAATTCCAAGTTTGCCACCGAGTATGACAGACAGTTAAAGAGGTTCAGAGAGATCGAATGTGATTATAAAAATCCAGATAAGTTTACTAGTCTGAATATAAAACACATAAAAATCCTGATGGAAAAATGGCAGAAGTAATTTTTGTAAAAATATTATGAGGTGTCTTAAGGCAAACTATTTAAAAAGGTAGGTAGAAATCAAAATTTTTAAAATTGCTCATTCTGTATTTACATATTTTAGCAGACTATCAACCACAGATACAAATTTAATGTCAAAAGTTAAAGAGAAGTGGGAGTTGAAAGTGATGCACAGGATCATAACAGCTGCTACCAAAGAATTAATAGTACAAATGATAATAATAATAAAAAAAGCGTAGTATGACTGGCATTGAGATCTCATCAATTTACAGTTAAGCTGGTTAGATGTAGCCTTAAATTCTATGATAACAGTTTCTATTCTCACACTTCTTGCCTGTGGAACTCTGTTGTAGCTCCATGCTTTCTAGCCAATTTAAACTGCAAAAATTTAATGCAATGTCAAACATTATCTACTAACTTTATTACACTTCTATTTTTCTCACTCCCTAATGTTTTTCTTTTTTCTTTTGTTTCTTTTATTTCTGTTTTCTAATACTTCCATAGGCATCTACTGTCCTTTTAACTACGATGTCTGCTTCCTGCTGATTAATGTTTCTGTTCCTAATTCTTCCACACTCTGTAACCTAGAGTGGCAAGTTCTAAGCAATATGGGAATAAAGTAGAAAATTAAAAACAGAAAATCAGAGAAAATAGTTTGTTTTTTTTATAACTAAAAACATAAAATATCCCAACAGTAAAATGTAAAATCCCTAGCTGGAACATGACAGAATCATTATTTTGATGTTTTAGAAGACAGAGAATTTGCCATCCTATTGTAACCCATTGTGTCTTATTGGCTTTAATGCCTTGCTTGGGGGTGATATAAATTTAAAAAAAAAATAAAATAATAATTTAAACGTTTCCCCACAAATTAATGGCTCCAAACAGTGAAAACATTTTATTTTCATTTATAGATACAACAGTTACTTCATGCACTTAATCGAACAAGCTTTTTAGAACAGAAGTAGTATTATAAATCAAATCATGAAATACCATTCTCCAGTTGTTTGATTTTTATTGTAAATATTGGAGAGAAAAAACAAAAAACTAATTTGATATGCCACATTGATACCCTCACTTGCTTTCATCCAAAGATTTTTTGGCTAATAAAGATCTTGTCAAATAAAAATCTTTAGCAGCAACATAAGTGACGTGCCTTAAAATTGTTTCTGTACATATTTACAAAGTGTAGAATGAGCTTTACTGAATTTGAAACCCTAAGTCAGTGGTTCCCAAATGGTATGGCATGCTTCATAGATGTGGCAGAAGAGGATAGCAAGTGAAGCAGAAGGATTGAAAGAAAATCAAAGATTTAGAAACAGTTTCAAAAAATTAATATGCCAAGAATAAATATGATTCCAAAATCCAAAATATTATTATGGATTACTTGTAATTGCACAAGTCCCTGTATAATTAGTTATAAATAATTATTGATTGATTTTATCATTGTGATATTTTTGCATTATATCAAGTATTAAGAATACAGTATCAAGGATCTGCAAATTGAAGGAGAGAGTTATCAATGATAATGTCCTCATTTCAAAACCATGGCTATCCCTCTTTAACTCTTCCCCTCTGTTTTTTTATTTTTAAATGTACTTTTTATCACATAAAATTTGGTGAGGTGTAAGCAAATTTTCATTCTAAAAATGCAGCCTGAGAACCACTGCCTTAAGTAAATAAGTTTAAAGTGTCAAATATAAGCTGATCATTAACGATTTTTTTGTGGACAAAAAAAAACTTCAAAAAAAAAAAAAAAAAAAAAAAAAAAAAATATATATATATATATATATATATATATATATATATATATACAACACATACCTTTGTGTTTTATACAAGTTCCCTGGGATAAGTTTTAATAATTCAAAAACTACTAGTGTTGTTTTGTTTTTTGTTTGCACACATGCTAATATTTCTTGACACTTAAAAAGAAATCAATATGAAAACATTGTTTAGAAAATTAACATGTTATTCTAAAAAAAGAAGTTCCATTTATCAAATTATTTTGCTATTTACACTGAATTGAAAGAAATTTGAAAATATTAAGAAATCTCTACCTATCAAGTAAGAATATCTATGGGTCACTTTTCTATAGTATAATGACAGGTTTCCTCAATTTTAAGAGAATAAAATTACAGGTTCTTCCTATTAAAAATGCTATTGCTGGACATTTGTATAATATAGCGTTACAAATGTCAGCTCCCATCATGATGGTTTCTTACTAAGCTGAGTACAAAATGACACTTGCACATTTATATAAAGAAAAAAGTGTTTATTTACTAATTGTCTGTTGGATAGTTTAATATGTATATATGACTACAAAAAACAATTATACATAAACAAAATCTGGGATGCTCAAGAGTTCTTGGTTCAAACCACTTCCCCCAAAAAAGGTCAAATAATCAAATTTTATTTTATCCCTTCTTGGTCAGGCCAAGAACTTTTCAGCACCACCTTGTAAAATGAAATAATATTCTACTCTATCACCAACTAAATAGGCTATTAAGTGTTCAGCATTTATTTTCCAAATCTTTCTTTTAATGACATCAAAAGCATTGGGTTAATATCAGTTGGTAAAGAAAAATTGATTTTATTGAACATGTTTTTAGTTTTTATGATGCAAGGAAATGTACATTATTTACATTATTCAGACTATTGTCTTCATCTTTGCCGCCATATTTATTACAACGTTTCGGCCGTTGTACGCTCTGGCCTTCAGGTGGTTGGAATATCGAACTGAACCCTTTATTTCGCTCCCTGGGGTAGATTATTCTAGTTCCACGTGCCATGTCTAATGGATGTCAGTTATCAGTTATCTCTTGTTAATTTCCCTCTGAAAGTTCTCCACTGCCTTAGCCAGGTATTGCACTCACACTCTTTGGGTCTTGTCACTGGATCTAACCAATGCCTTTATCCACTGTACCATGTGTCCTCGAGGCCAGAAGAAGGCCACAGCGTACAACGGCCGAAACATTGTAATAAATATGGCAACAAAGATGAGGACAATAGTCCAAATAATGTAATGTACATAATACCCCATCTCAGAAATATAGACAGATACTCAAGGAAATGTACTTTTTTTTTTTTTTTTTACTATAGTACAGAGAGTTTTTTTTAATCATTTCACCTCAAGCAAGGTGATAATGCCACTAAGGCACAAAGGGTTACTGAGAATAAAAAGAGAATAAGAAGACTTTAGTGAGGAGAAAGGACAATAAAGAACAGACTTCAGGAAAACAGAAGATGGTGCTTGACATTGCATCAATGTAGATGATGGGGAAGCAAGAAAGTGGAAGAGTTCCACAGGCAAGAAGTACAAAAAAGCAAATATTACAGTTACATCTAGCTAGTTCAATAGTAAAACAGTGAGACTTCATTACCAATCTAGTAGTACACTTAAATTTATGCAGTCAAGGTAAGACGTAAGAAAGCTCATCAGAACAACTACCATGAAAATATTTATAGAAAAGACAGAGGGAAGATACATCACAGCAGTGGAAAAAAATGCCTGAAGTTGAGATGCCAGGTCAGGACCTTATTACATTAAAGACCCTTCTTTGTAGATGAAGTCAGGTGTGAGAGTTCAAGGAGCAACTAGATTTAAAGGTTTGTATATGGTGATACAATTGATCTATTCTATTTAGATAGTGCCATTATTTGCTTTTTGCAATTGCATAAACTCATGTTATTTCAAATTCACTCTTATTTGTTATTTATGCGTGTAAAGTGAGTGAGAACAAGGTTCAAACTTTTTTTCACTGTTTAGCTACAAAGATATAGGACTTGCTGATGGTAAAATTTAAAATTTTAAAAATTCCCTGCCACTACCAACAAAGAGAAAAAAAAAAGCCACCCACAAAGAAATCATAAAAAAAAAAAAAAAATAGGACATGAGATGAACTTGCACTATGGTAATTCAAACCCACCAATCTGGTCATATAAATCTTGTCAGATTGAATGCTTTGATCAACAAACAATGCACATAAGAGAATAGCTTGCTAGCATTTAGCTTCCTATTCACTTGGCACATTGGGAATATCTTCAGTAACATTTTAGTACCAATGCTCACTGCTTGTAAAACGTCACTAAAATAGCACTTTTTTTTTTTTTTTTTGTCAGGGAGAGGGGGATATAGCAAAGACACATAAAATCGCTATAAACCCATAAAATCCTGTCAAACTATATATCAAATGAAAAGAAGTTGATTTATCAATAAGTTTATCAATGTTGTTTATATGTGTATTCTATTTTTATAACTTTATTGGTGAGATAAAAAGAAAAAGAAACAAAAAATGATGAATATTGTAAAACCATGTTTTTCAATTCTGGTCAAGCACAATGAAGTAGTAGGTTTAGCTCAATTCCAAAGCACACAGTGGTGGGAATTTGGTCAAATCAGGAAAGAATGCTGTTTAAGATAATGTGTTTGGGTTTAGTTGGTCAAATAGTTTGGCCATAATTGGTTATCAAAATTTGACCACTATGGTTCAGTAAGTTTTCATTAAAAAAAAAAAAAAAATTGAACATTTAAATCGATGAAACAGATGTTTTGAAATTTTTTTTTTCATTTAATTAT